AAGAAACAGAAAGAAAACAAAAAAAGGAAATACAAAATAAAAAATAACAATAAAAACTTGTCGCTCCCCCTCTTCGTGGAGGAACGACACAGGACCCTGCGCTGTTCTTTTGTCTGCTCGGCCCTCCCCAGGTTTGCTGCTGGTTCTTCCCGGGTTGGCTACTGTCCCTTCCACCTCCGTGGAAGGGCGGTTCCCCCTGCCACTTTCCCCACTTCCGCAGGGGAGCGGCACACCGCCGGCCGGCTCTCTCGGGGGCTGCACAGGTGTTCCTTCAGATAGATGTTCCCCTTAGATGTTCCTGGTGCATGCCGTCTCTCTCCTCCTTTATAGTCCTCCTCCGCCAATCCCAACTCGGCTGCCCACACGCCGAGTACGCTGCTCTCCTCCAATCAGGAGCAGGATCAGCTCCTGGAGGTCAGCACTCAAGTTGGCAAGAGGCAGCTGTGCGGAAGCTGTTTTCTCCTCTCCCAGCGCCATATTGTGGGAGAGCAGATGCATAGAATAAGTCTTAATTCCAGTAACTCAGTCCAGTCCGGGTTGCTCCCCACAAAAACTATCTCTAACAGTCAGGACGAAGGCTATTTAAGCCACTGTTTCTAAAAGTGTCAACTGTTGAAATCTGTACTTAACATAGAGTTGGTTCTCTGTATATAAAATTAAACTAAAAATGAACCACAATGAAAAAGGGGATGGGAGAGGGAGCAGGAGGTGGGGTGGGAGTCTGGGTGGGAGGGTGGTTATGGGGGAAAGAACCACTATATTCCTAAAGTTGTACCTATGAAAAATGCATTCATTAAATAAAAGCTTTAAAAAATAAAAACACAAAAAAATCCTCCAGAATAGATGGTAACAAGAGATTCCCTAGATGCAGAAAAATCAATGTAGAAACAGAAGAAACATAAACAAGGAATTCATTTCGACTCCCCAAAAGGAACACAATAATACATTACTTCTTTGCAAGAAGAGGAGACTGACAAAATGCCAGCCAAAATAATTCAAAGGAATGATTGTAAAGTTATACAAAAACAAAGAAAAACAGTTAAATGAAATAAGGAAATATGTACATGACGTGGATGAGAAATTCTGCAGAGAGGGTATCCAATCTACAGCCAACTTATATTTGATCAAGGATCTAAAACCAATTCCTGGAGCAAGGACAGTCTATTCTACAGAATATTTCATCCCACATATACAGAATACACATTGTTTTCAACAGTGCATGGAACATTCTCTAGGATAGATCATATACTAGCCCTTAAAACAAATCTCAAAAAACTTTCTAAAAATGGTATCATAGACCACAATTGAATGAGGTTGGAAATTAACAACAAAAGAAATTCTAGAAAACATACAAATCCATAGAGACTGAACAACACACTCCAGAATGAACAGTGGTTCATAGAAGAAATCAAAAGGGAAATAAGAAAATTCCTAGATATGAATGAAAATGAAAACACAACATATCAAAACTTATGGGATTCAGCATAAGCAGTGTGAAGAGTAAAGTTTATGGTAAAAATTACCTACATCAAAAATTTGCAAAGTTCAAACAAATGATCTGCCAATGCATCTCAATGATCTAGAAAAAGAACAAGGCTGGCACCGTGGCTCAATAGGCTAATCCTCCGCCTAGTGGCACTGGCACACTGGGTTCTAGCCCTGGTCGGGGCGCCGGTTCGGTCCCAGTTGCCCCTCTTCCAGGCCAGCTCTCTGCTGTGGCCCGGGAGTGCAGTGGAGGATGGCCCAGGTGCTTGGGCCCTGCACCCCATGGGAGACCAGGAGAAGCACCTGGCTCCTGGCTTCGGATCAGCGCGATATGCCGGCTGCAGCGCGCCAGCTGTAGCGGCCATTGGAGGGTGAACCAATGGCAAAAGGAAGACCTTTCCCTCTGTCTCTCTCTCACTGTCCACTCTGCCTGTCAAAAAAATAAACAAATAAATAAAATAAAATAAAGAACAAACCAAACCCCAAAACCGTTGGCAGGAAATAAAGAATAAAAATCAGAGAGAAATAAACAAAGTAGAAATAAAAAAAAAACCTACACAGAAGCTCAGTGAAATAAAGAGCTAGCTTTTTGAAAAAATAAGCAAAATTGATAAGCCATTGGTGCAACTAATAAAAAAAAAAGACCTAAATTAGTAAAATCCGAGATGAAAAAGGAAATTTTACAACTGAAACCACAGAAATACCAAGTAGTAGGAATTCAAATAGCTATAGGCCAATAATTTGGAAAGTCTAGAAGAAATGGATACATTTCTGGATACTTATAATTTCCAAAATTGAAGTACAAAGACATATAAAACCTGAATAAACCAATAACAAGAACTGAGATTGAGTCAGTAATAGAGTCAACAAAGAAAAGCCCAGGACCAGATGGCTTCATTGCTGAATTCTATTAGACTTTTAAAGAAGAACTAATACCAATTCTCCTCAACCTATTCAAAACAATTGAAAGAGAGGGACCCCTTTCAAACTTATTCTCTGAATCCGGCATTACTTTAATTCTAAAACCTGAGAAAGATACAACAATAAAACAATAGACCAATATCTTTGATGAACATAGATGCAAAAATCCTCAACAAAGTACTAGAAAATAGAATACAGCAACACATAAAAAAGATCATCCACCAAGACCAAGTGGGATTTATCCCAAGGATGCAGGGATGGTACAATATATGCAACTCAATAAGCATGATAAATCACAACAAAATGAAGTATTAAAACACATGATTATCACAATAGATGCAGAGAAAGCATTTGATAAGATACACAATCTTTTCTTGATAAAAGCCATAAGCAAATTGGGTATAGAAGGAACATACCTCAACATAATTAAGACAATGTCTGACAAACACTCAGCCAGCATCATATTGAATGGCAAAAAGCTGGAAGCATTTCCACTAGGATCTGAAACCAGACAGGGATGCCTACTCTTACCACTATTATTCAATGTAGTTCTGTATATAGGGGAACCAAAAGACTCCACTAAGACGATACTAGAACTCATGACAATTTGGCAAAGGTGTAGGATATAAGATCAGCACACAAAAATCAATAGTACTCTTACATGCCAACAACACTGTGGTTGAGAAAGCATTTATAAGATCAGTCCCATTCACAGTACCTACAAAATTTTTAAACATCTTGTGATAAATTAAACGAAGGATGTTAAAAATCTCTACAATGAAAATTACAAAACATTAGTGGAAGACATAGAAGACACAAAGAAGTGGAAAAACCTTCCATGTTCATGGATTAGAAGAACTAATGTCATCAAAATATTTACATTATCCAAAGTAGTTTTCAGATTCAATGCAATTTCAATCTAAGTACCAAGGACATTCTTCACAAATCTAGGAAAAGTAATCCTAAAATTAATACTGAAAAACAAAAGACCCCATATGCCAAAGAATCTTAAATAATAAAAACAAAGCTGGGGGCATCATAATACTAGATTTCAAGAAATCCTGCAAGGCTGTTATAATCAAAACAGCCTGGTACTAAGAGAAAAATTGATATGCAGATCAATGGAACAGAATAGAAACCCAGAAAGTAACCCATGTATCTACAACCAACTATCTTTGAAAAATGAGCCAAAATTATTCCCTGAAGAAAGGATAGTATCTTCAATAGCTGGTGTTGGGAAAATTGGATTTCTACATGCAGAAGTTTGGAACAAGACTTGTACTCTACACCCTATACAGAAACCAACTCGATTTAAACCTAAGACCTGAAGCCATCAAATTACTAGAAGAAAACATAGGTAAAATGGTGTAAGACATTGTCCTTAGCAAAGACTTCTTAAATAAGACCCCAGAAGCACAGGCAATAAACACAAAATAGACAAATGGGATCACATCAATCTAAGAAGCTTCTGCACAGTAAAGAAAGTTATTAAAGTGTAGAGACAACAGAAGGAATGGGAGAAAATATTTGCAAATTACATATCCAATAAAGGATTAATATCCAGAAAATATAAGGAGCTCAAGAAAGTCAACAACAGCAAACCAAACAATGCAATTAAGAAATGACTAAAGGCCATATGAAGGAGTGCTCAGGATCATTAACTATCAGGGAAATACAAGTAAAAAGCACAAATGAAGTATCACCTCATCCCCGTTAGAATGACTACCATCCAAAAATAAAAAAACAAAAATGAAAACAAAAAAACAAATTGCTGCCCAGAATGTAGAGAAAAAAGTACTCTAATACACTGTTAGGGGGAATGCAAATTCATATAATCATTGTGGAAAATACTATGGCAAGTTCTCAGAAAACTAAAAATTTATCTATCATATGACCCAGCTAGCCCATTCCTGGGAACATATCCAGAGGAAATGAAATTGGCATAGGAAAGAGATGTCTGCACTCCTATGTTTATACTAGTTCAATTCACAACAGCTAAGATATGGAATCAACCTAGATGCTCACCAACTGATGACTGGATAAAGTAAATGTGGTGTATATATACACAAAGGAATATTAGTCAAAAATGAAGGAAATCCTGACTTATACAACAAAATGAATGTAACTGGACATCACTATGCTATGTGAAATAAACCAGACCAAAAAGGACAAATATCACATATTTTTATTATTTGTGGTAGTTAATATATACAGAGTATAAAAATTGTGTGGATACCATATCACTTGGTATGCAGTTATTAATACTGCTTCACTGAATCATACCATATACTCTTCTTTTGCACGTTAGAAAGAAAGAAATGGTAAGGGGGAGAATAGTGAGGACTCTTTGGGTACTAGTAAAGTTTTGGTCTTAATTTTGGTGTTGCTTACGAGTGTGATCAGAGGACAAAAAGATTCATTTATCTGTATATTTATGTTCATTTCTTGGTATGTATACTGTATTTCAATTAAATGCTCCAAAAATAAGACATTTTATACGAATTCCTTTTATGCATTTTACATATATTTATGTATCTATGATTAATACTGAAGGTTAAAATATTGGCAAACAAATAATATACTTGAAGACTTACCTTGGGGGCCAGGATCTCCTGGTGGCCCAGGTAACCCATCCTTCCCTGGTGGGCCGGGTCTCCCGTGGGCTTGAGCAGCTAGCATTGCAGCAGGCAACTTGAGCTGAGATAGGAACACAGCCATCCTCTCTTCATTTATGAAAGAAAAAAATAATATATCACATTAGAAATATTGCTATGTCAAAAATTTTTCAAAAATGATTTGATGTAGTTAAAAAATTCAGTGTTTAATGTATGCACATTCATTTATCAACTTGTTTGCTGAGTTGTTACAATGAAATACATAAAATTGACTGCACAAAGTTGTTTGACTATAGATGCAGACTTGCTTGTTTCTCAGAGGGTCTGAGAATTTTCAGTGGTTCTGAGAGGAGTGAACTTGCAACTGACTATTCAGTTCCAGTTGAGCCTTCAGATGATTGCAGCCCTGACCTACATCCTGGGTGCAACTTCATTATGGAGCCTGAGCTAGAGTCACACCACCAAGCAACCCTTCAAGTCCTTGGCCTATAGAAACTGTAAGCTAAAAAATTTTTGTTGTTTTAAGGCACTAAAGTTTATAGATATCGTTGCTATGTGGCAGTAGATAATTCATATAGCACATAACAGTTGCTATTCTTTAACAGCATTTCTTTATTAATAAAAAGATTATTTATTGAAAAGATTATCATTGGTTCCATATTTTACATGATTTTGCTGTTTAATCACTACAGTGGGCAAATATTTTGCTTTATCAATAGCTAATTTTTACTTTTTGAAGACAACATATCATAAGCCCTCATTGTTATTCATGTTTTTCTTGCTGGATTTCCAATTACTGAGTCTGTTATTCAGTCAAGATTTCCAATAGAAAGGATGTCTAATTTGACCAAAGGAAAAAAAAATCAGCACTGGTACAGATGAACATCTTCTCTGAACTGCAATTTTAGAAACCATAAAAACAACAAAAATCGTTCTACATATTTATGTGAACCTGCCGAAAACATCGAAACTAAGAACACACCAATAATGAGGAACTGACAAATTAACCAGCACATTTACAATTCAATAAATACTACAAAATCTTCTGTAAGCTTTGAGTGGTGTAATATTTATGAACTTAATATTTCCTAAATAAACAATGATGTTTTCTCAAGGAATATATCATTGTCATTTGCCCCTTTTTGTTCCTCTAGAGCCTGAAATATTTCATTTGGGTTCTGAAGAAAATGCCCAGAAGTTAAGAAAGCATTAATTAAAGGTAGTTAAGGTCAGCTCCATCTTTGGGTCATGAGTAGTTGACATAGTGGCATGCAACTAACAATACTTAGAGAGTTATTACTAAGTCACAATGCTTTTATATGAAAGTGATATACATCTTAAAATAAACTCAAATGAGATATTAATTAAACATTCTTTGTGAGCAGAACTTTGAATTAGGGATTTTGTAGTTTCTGTGTTAAGCGCTCTTATTTAGGAATCAGGGAGAGACTTGCATTTAAATAAGAATTATTACCTATATTTGATATGTCCCATATACTATAAGGATTATCTGATAAGCTTTAGCAGTCCAGTAGTAGTATGATACAACAGACTTCAAATCTATCATATAATTACAAGATACTACTTCTCAGAAGTACTTTTTTGACTAATCACTGTACAATTATACTTATCATTATTAAATTCTTGGCTTTTAAACCCATATAGGACATTGTTCAGTTATATTTTACCTCAAAAGCATAGCATATCCAATATTTCACTACATGGAATTAATGTTTGTTTAAATCATTGAGTCATTGAAGTTTCATTATAAATGCAATCTATTATTTGATTCTTTATTTAAATTTTCTTTGTTTATATTTTAGAAACACAACATTTAAAAATCTAACATATGGATAGCTAGGTTTAAAACAGAAAATCACAGCAGGTTGTATACTTGACACTGAAAACTAGTTACACTGTTTTCGTTTCACATAACTTCTTCAAAAAGCAAATTCTCTTAGAAATTCAAATTATTTCATTTGCAAAACTTAGACATAATTCTTCAAGTGTACATGTTAGGTTTTACAAGAATCTTTCACGTAAAAAAATCCATTCTGGGATTGGTACAAATCTTCCAGAAAAGTTTCTTATTGATATATGTGGTGTTTATTTTGTAGTTGAAGACCAAATGACAGCAACATACTAGAGATGACAGGTGTTAGTTAAAACAAAAAAGGCCAAATCATATAGACTTGTAAAGAGGCACTTTGATTTTTTTCAGTCTTTTCACTCAGTTCAGTTCATTTAGTTGAACTGCAAAGCCTATTTCACTTAAATAGACTTATATTTCTTATAACTTTTTTGATAAACAGTAAATTACTTGTGAGTAAAACCTGTTTTCCTATGGGGTTTCAATTTTAAAAAATCACTTAAAAACAATATGTACCCTTCTGAAGAGAGTAAAACATGCTTTTTTTGACACAGAATTATGAAGGGAAGAACATTAGCTGTAGTTACCCTAAGAGTAGTCACCCCACACTCCCACTCTGAAGTCATAAACTCAGTGGAACAGAAACATTACAGCACCCACAGGACTAGAATCTTTGGCTGTCATCTGAGGACAATTGTAAAAAAATGGGGATCTGATAGAGGCTGGTCCCAAAGAGTGATGCTAAATTACTCACCTTCCAGTTAAACTTTTACTATCTGACTATCTTAGCTATTTGATTGATGCTAATACATTTTTTCCAGGAACTCAACAGATCAAATAGGCAATTAACATCATATAGTCAATTTGCAAATCATTGTGTTGAATACAATATCTTACTAGGTAATTTATAATAAACATAAAAGTCAGTGAGTGATCAATTTGAAGCTTTTCATGTTGACTGTCTTTCACTTAAAAGATAATATATTTCACTAAAATTTTCTTAATTTGAGACATAACTCTTGGAAGTCATTCAATGTCAAAACAGAAATTCACAGTGCTAATTTTTTCTCTTTAGGGTATGACTTGGATTTACAAGTGCTTTCCTTCATGTTATTTGTAGCATTTTTAGCAAAAAAGAAAACTATTTTAAATAATTACTTCTAGCTGTAAGTGATCTAGCTTTAAGATGCCTTCAGAAGTACTCATTTAGCATAAAGGTAATTACCTCTTCCAAGCCCTAACCTAATGTTCTATAATTTAAAATAATATGCTTTTGAGCATTTAAATGAACTATAAAGGCTCATATTCTTAATTGCTTTTCCTCTGTTTTCAGGAATCTTTAGTCAATTAAACTGTTTTTGGCTATGCTTTCTAATGAGGCAAGAAATTAAAGAATTTAGATAGAAGCAGCTGTAAAACAAATATACATATCCATCTGCCAAGGCAAAACCACAGCCGTCATTCTACATGAAACCAATGGCTTGCTTCCTTGGAGAATGGGTTCATTCATATAACAGACATTAATATTAATGTGATGATAAACTGTATTATACTAAGGAGGAAGAGATACTAGGATGTCACCAGGCCCATGTCTATTTTCTGTTTAATGGATAGAATTTTAAAATATTTTCAAAGAGAGAAATTCACCTTTTTCTACTATTATCCATTCAAATGTTTAATTGCCTATTTTCTTGATACAACTTCAACTTATTTTCCTTTGTTACCCCATTATGGAAACAGTATTCAATGAGTATTTTCCTTGTGAAGTCATTCATATATTTGAAGATATTGTTATCTGTTAGTCTTCAGATTAAATAGCTTTTACTTACAGATTGGTAATATATTTTCTTAATCACTTTTTGGTTCCATCATTACAGTACTTTTGCATATGTCTCTTAAATGTGGAAACCAAAATTAGATATGGTTTTACCTCAAGGAGTAAAAAAATCAGAAGAGTAATTTCTTGTGTTGCCTTAATTTTATTTTTTAGTCTCATTTAACTGTTTACTAAATAGGATCACTTGGCAGATTCATATTTATTTTGTGGTTTGTCATGACCCAAAAGTTATTAATAATGTATTTATCTCTGGCCCAATTCTTTGCCATCTTTGTAAGCATGGTACTTTGAAAATGATGGAATGGGTGAAGATGGTGGATTGAAATATATCTTCTTTAACTACCTCCTGAATCCCTACAAAAAATAGTGAGATATTTTTAAAGGTATAAAACCACAAGAATATGGAGGATATGAAAGGAGACAATAGAAACAGAATTTTGAAAGATGAATTTGATTGAGTACTAGGTTATAATTAAATAGGATTAAGAAGTTCTGGAGTTCTATCATGTAGTATGGTAACAACAATAAGGTTAATATACTATACATTTCTCTCTTTAAAAAATATTTATTTGAAAGAATTACAGAGTGAAAGACACACAGAGAGAAACATAGAGAGAAAGGCGAGAGAGAGAGAGAGAGACAGAGAGACAGAGAGATTGAGAGAGATTGAGATCTTCCACTCACTTCCCAATCGGCCATAATGGCAAGGGCTGGCACAGGCCAAAGCCAAGAGCCAGGAACTTCTTCCAGGTTTCCTACATGGGTGCAAGGGCCCAAGCTCTTGGTTCATATTCTACTGCTTTCTTAGGCACATTAGCAGGGAGCTGGAGCAGAAGTTGAGCATCTGAGACACAAATATTGCCCATATGGGATGGCAGCCTTGCAGGCAGCAACTTCAACTGCTATGCCACAACACCAGCCCCAGAATATTTCTTTATCAAAAAACCAGAAGATAGGATTTTGGATGTCTTTACCTTAAAGAAATTAGAAATGCTTGAAGAGATAAAGATATTTGTCTTGATTGGACATTGTCAAGTATATGAATGTAATGGGTGCATAGGGCCCCATAAGTTTGTACAATTTTTTATTTATTAAAATTTTGAACATAAAAACATTTTAAATTTAAAAATATAACAAATAATCTTAGAAATCCTGTTCTCTGAACAGTGTCCCCTCCCCAACCCTAGCACAAGGCTTAAGGTTTGTAATCTGGACAGGATAGGAAAATAGATTGTACGGGAAACTCAGACTCCCTTGAGACTTGGGCTTCGATGCTGAAAAAAGGACAACAAATGAATACTTTCGTGCTCAGTGCTGAGCTGGGAGCCAGGCAGGAGACACTGAGGCATCTGATCAGATGAAGAGGAGAGACTTAATGGCACTGAAATGGAGAATCCCTAA